TAGCCCTGCACGAGCTTTTGGCGAGCTACCATCCGAGCCTTGGGGCGAGGATGGCGCGGGGCCGTCCAAGCAGTCATCAGTTTTTCCAAGTGATTGTTTAGGACTTTTTTAAGTTGTGAACTTTCATCAAATTCAGGAACATTTTCAAAAATTTGTGAATATTTTTAATATTCATGAATTTTTTTAGAATTCATGAACTTTACTAGTCTTCTCGTATTTTGGGCTATATTTAGACGCTAACTTTAACTAATAAAATGTACTATGTAGCAAAAATACTATCATTAGAAACAATATTTAAATACAGATCTAATAATATAATTTTAATGACATAAATTAATAGTTTAATGGTCAATATATGGTGAAATTTTAACGGAAAACACGATGGGACTGTAATGCGGAACAAGGCGGCAGCTGTATATAATGCACGTTCACGGGCGAGCGATAGCTGCAGTCACACAATGATCCGACACGTGCATCTTGTCCGTCCACAGCTGTTAACACCACAGTTCTACGCCCGGAAGCTTCGCGCCAGCGCCACAAGGAAACGTTGAGCGGCGCACGGCCATGCACGATGCGCCGTACTCTGCTCTCTCACGCGTTCTCTTGTGACTCATCCCACTCCTGTCCCCCACTGGATCTAAGCCCTACTTTGCTAGCGGGTATAAATAACAAGATGCATATAGCTGCAGCTGACCAGAGACGAGCTCGGCCGTCCAGCTAGCATCGGCGACCAGAGGAGCCAGTTTGACACTCAACAGCCGCGTCGATCGATCGGAGTTGCACGGGACGCAAGCTAGCGCGAGCCGGTGGTAGCGTTGTAGTACACCGACATCATCGACCCATCCATGCATCTGCTCCATGGGTCTTCTATGATCGGTGGCAGCTGCGGCGGTAGAGCTCTCCGGCGAGTCGACAGCTCCCCGAAGCCGTCCTTGTGCCGGAGCGACGCCATGAAGAAGAAGAGGAGCAAGAGGTCCAGGCTCCCCGCCGCGCTGCGGGAGCTCAGGCTGGCGGCCAAGGCGAGGGACAAGGAGGGGCTCCTTCAGATCCTCGTCACCGGACACCGCACCAGCCGCGGAGGATCCGGCAACGGCGAGCGCACTGGCGGAGCATCGACGGAGCGCAGTGTGGCTGGCACGGGCGACGACCAGCGCGCGACACTGCGGTGGCAGGGACGCGGTGTCGATGCAGCCGCGCGTGCGGATGGTCCTCTTCTTGAGCTGGGGAGACCGACAGCAACCGGGGGAGCCAGCTGCGGAGGCCGTCGTTGCCCGAGTTGGGCGCTGGCAGTGGCGCTTGTGCTCGCGCTGGTTTGCGTGGTAGCTCTCGGGACGGCGCCGGCCATCTGTTGCTGCACCTGCGCGGCCTGGTTGTGCGGCGGCTGCGGCGCGCAGGAGCATGCATCTGACCGGCGGCGGGGCGGCTCCTGCCGTGGCAGCGTCAGAGTAATACAGCAACAAGCCGGTAGTACACTGTATCATGCAGAGGTCACCAGTGGGTGAACTGTATGAATTTTGCATATTCTTTATTTTTTATGGGAGAATATAACATGAAAACCACATGTTTTCACATGAAAACAATGGCTTGAAGTTTTGAAAAGATCTACTCCCTCCCTCCGTTCCTAAATGTATCTCTTTGTAGAGATTACATTGGGTAGACTACATACGGAGAAAAAGAATGAATCCACACTTAGATTCATAGTGAAATCTCTACAAAGACTTATATTTAGGAATAGAGGGAGTAAAAAATATGAGATCGTGAGTGCGTCAACAGCATAGCTTATCTTTATAGAAGGAGGACAAACAATTTACAAGAGAAGCCAAGAGGAAGATGCACACATCCCCAAGAGGAAGATGCACACATCCCTCCTCAGCCACACCACATTACTCCCCACTCTAGACTAAAGCTTACTCTTTTATAAAATGTGACGACTCTCCTACTCCTACGCCAGCCTCTCTCCAGTCCTGGATCTCTCTCAGGATGAACTTCACTAGTTGATGAGCCGACCTTTGTTGCGCCGTCTTGTTGAAGACACGCGCATTGCACTGTTTCCACAACGTCCAAGTCACCGCAATAACAAAGATGTCGAACCCACGTTTGAGTTTCTTACCAAAACCCCTTCTGGCATTGAGCCACCAATCCAACAGGTTGTTATCCATTTTTGGTCTTTTCATGTTCAAGTTAAGTTTTTGAATACATCCATGCTACACTTCCCTCGTACACACATTGAACCAAAATGTGCTCGGCGTTGTCTTCATTCTGCAGGCAAGTGAAGCAGGGAGACGGCTGATCTTGTAGCCCGTGTTTCGCTCTCCGGTCCGATGTCTAGATACGATGCTGCACTGCCAACCTGGCAAATATTTTGCACTTAAGTAGTGTCCAGCTCTTCCAAATGCAAGTTGCATACAATACCCCTGGATTTCGAGACACAAGTGGTTATACGTGGACCTCACAAAGGTGTAGACTATACCTGGCCATGGGAAGCCCGGCCCGGCCGACCCGACCCGGCCGAAAAAGCCCGACCCGGCCCGGCCCGACGCTGCCCCGGGCCAGGCTCGGGCCGGGCCAGGCCCAGGCCCGTTGTTTTTGCATTTCTCTGAAGGTCGGGCCGGGCCGGCCCGGAGCCCGATGGGCTTTTACGCGTTTGGGCCGGGCTCGGGCACAAAAAACAGGCCCGATGGCCGGGCCGGGCCGGGCTCGAGCCTGAATTTTTTTCGTCGGGCTTGGCTAGGCCCGGCCCAGCCCGAGGTATGGCCAGGTATAGTCTACACCCACATCATGTAGCCATCGCGCATTCTCCAAGCCCTCACCGACCGTACGCATGTTCCTAGTGTGAGTGTCCACCGTACAATGAATCAGTGGTGCGATGTCCTCCACCGCAAAGCCATCACTATTAGGAAAAATCTTATACACAGCATCTTAGCAGTTGCGCTGGACAAAACATTGCGCTACTGTTACTTAGTAGTAGCGTGCTTAAATAAACCGCGCTACTGCTACTACTTTAGCAGTAGCGCGTTCTAGGAAAATGCGTTGCTGCTATGTTTGTACCGGGCGTAGATGGCTAGCCCCACTTAGCAGTAGCGTGTATCTGCAACCACCGCTACTGCTACGTTCCATAGCAGTAGCGTGTATCTCGGAGACGTGCTACTACTTACTTACTTTATCCTCACCACGCGCCCGACCCTCTCACTCACTCTCCCTCCCACTCACTCTCGCCTGCGCCGAACCCGTCGTCCGCTGCCGCCGTCGTCCGCCGCCGCCGCCACGCTGCTCCTCCACCGAGGTACTCCCTCCATCCCTCCCCCCTCCTCCCTCCTCCTCCCTCCTCCTCCGGCCGCCCTTCTCCCACCGTCCCTCCCTCCTCCTCCTCCGGCCGCCCCTCCCCCTCCTCCCCCCGCCCCTCCCTCCTTCGATCCCACCGGCCTCCTCCCCCTCTGATGACCCACAAGTATAGGGGATCTATCGTAGTCCTTTCGATAAGTAAGAGTATCGAACCCAACGAGGAGCAGAAGGAAATGATAAGCGGTTTTCAGCAAGGTATTCTCTGCAAGTACCGAAATAAGTGGTAACACATAGTTTTGCGATAAGATAAATTGTAACGAGCAACAAGTAACAAAAGTAAATAAAGTGCAGCAAGGTGGCCCAATCCTTTTTGTAGCAAAGGACAAGCCTGGACAAACTCTTATAATAGGAAAAGCGCTCCCGAGGACACATGGGAATATTGTCAAGCTAGTTTTCATCAGCTCATATGATTCACGTTCGGTACTTTGATAATTTGATATGTGGGTGGACCGGTGCTTGGGTGCTGTTCTTACTTGAACAAGCATCCCACTTATGATTAACCTCTATTGCAAGCATCTGCAACTACAACAAAAGTATTAAGGTAAACCTAACCATAGCATGAAACATATGGATCCAAATTAGCCCCTTACGAAGCAATGCATAAACTAGGGTCTAACCTTCTGTCACTCTAGAAACCCATCATCTACTTATTACTTCCCAATGCCTTCCTCTAGGCCCAAATAATGGTGAAGTGTTATGTAGTCGAAGTTCACATAACACCACTAGAGGTTAGACAACATACATCTAATCAAAATATCGAACAAATACCAAATTCGCATGACTACTAATAGCAAGACTTCTCCCTTGTCCTCAGGAACAAACGTAATTACTCATAAAGCATATTCATGTTCATAATCAGAGGGGTAATAATATGCATAAAGGATCTGAACATATGATCTTCCACCAAATAAACCAACTAGCATCAACTACAAGAAGTAATCAACACTACTAGCAACCTACTAGCACCAATCCCAGACTTGGAGACAAGAATTGGATACAAGAGATGAACTAGGGTTTGGAGATGAGATGGTGCTGGTGAAGATGTTGATGGAGATTGCCCTCTCCCGATGAGAGGAGCATTGGTGATGACGATGGTGATGATTTCCCCCTCCCGGAGGGAAGTGTCCCCGGCAGAACAGCTCTGTCGGAGCCCTAGATTGGTTCCGCCAAGGTTTCGCCTCGTGGCGGCGGAGTCTCGTCCTGAAAGGTTGCCTTCTATTTTTTTCCCATCGAAAGACTTCATATAGGAGAAGATGGGCGTCGGAGAGCCACCAGGGGGCCCACGAGGTAGGGGGCGCCCCCACCCTCGTGAGCAGGGTGTGGGTCCCCTGGCCTTCATCTTTGGCGACGATTTTTATTTATTTATTTTAAGATATTCCGTGGAGTTTCAGGACTTTTGGAGTTGCGCAGAATAGGCCTCCAATATTTGCTCCTTTTCCAGCCCAGAATTCCAGCTGCCGTCATTCTCCCTCTTCATGTAAACCTTATAAAATAAGACAGAATAGCCATAAGTATTGTGACATAACGTGAAATAACAGCCCATAATGCAATAAATATTGATATAAAAGCATGATGCAAAATGGACATATCAACTCCCCCAAGCTTAGACCTCGCTTGTCCTCAAGCGAAAAGCCGATAACAATAAATATGTCCTCATGTTTAGGGGTAGAGGCGTCGGTAAAAATGAAATACGGACATGAAGGCATCATGATTATTTCTATAACAGCAACGTATATAGATTTTGTCATATGATTACTCATGTTCAAGTAATGATCTTTTCACAATGCAAAAGTATGAATCAGAAACCTTATTGAGCACCAACAAATTATAACCTCAGTCATTGAAGCAATTGCAATTTATCATAACATCGGAAAGAGTCTATGTGAGAGCTTAAAAGCAAGTCCACATACTCAACTATCACTTAGTCCTTCATAATTGCTAACACTCACGCAATACTTGTGGTTACGGAGTTTTAATCGGACACAGAGAAAGATAGGGGCTTATAGTTTTGCCCCACAACCTTTTACCTCAAGGGTAATGTCAACAATAATAATTCATGCTCCCCTACATCCAATTAGATATATATATCATGTTCTTTCCAACATGCTGAGCTTGCCAAAGGATAAAATGAAAAAGGAAAGGTGAAGATCACCGTGACTCTTGCATAAGGTAGAGGATAATAATAAAAGATAGGCCCTTCGCAGAGGGAAGCAGAGGTTGTCATGCACGTTTAGGGTTGATGCACAAAATCTTAATGCAAAAGAACGTCACTTTATATTGCCCCTTGTATGTGGACCTTTATTATGCAGTCCGTCGCTTTTATTACGTCCACAACAAGTTCGTACAAAGCTTATTTTCTCTGCACTAATAAGTCATGCATATTTAGAGAGCAATTTTTATTGCTTGCACCTATGACAACTTACTTGAAGGATCTTACTCAATCCATAGGTAGATATGGTGGACTCTCATGGCAAAACTGGTTTAAGGGTATTTGGAAGCACAAGTAGTATTTCTACTTGGTGCTGAGAATTTGGCTAGCATGAGGGGGAAAGGCAAGCTCAACACGTTAGGGGATCCATGACAACATACTTTATCTCAGATGTAAGAAAACATAACTCATTATGTTGTCTTCCTTGTCCAACCTCAACTCTTTAGCATGTCATATTTTAATGAGTGCTCCCAATCACAAAAGATGTCAATGATAATATATCTATATGTGAAACCTCTCTTTCCTTATTACTTCCTATTAATTGCAACGATGACCAAAGCTATATTTGCCAATCCCCAACAACTTTTAATCATCATACTCTTTCTATGTGAAGTCATTACTTTCAATAAAATCAATATGAACTCTTTGATTCTTTTTATTCTTTTTCTTCTATTCACCCAAGATCATGGCAAAATAATCAAGCCCTTGACTCAACACTAATCTTTATTATATAGCTCACGAACTCGATTACAAAGAAGGATCATAAAGCAAAACTCAAAACTAGATCATGCCATGACTTTATTCTACTAAATCAAGATACTACTAAAAGGATCGAACTAAGAAAGACGGTAAAGATAGGAGTTGTGATGGTGATACGATACCAGGGCACCTCCCCCAAGCTTGGCAGTTGCCAAGGGGAGTGCCCATACCCATGTGATTATTTCTCCTTCTTTGTTGTTGGCGGTGGAG